AAGATCACCACCTTCTGGTAGTCACACCTTTGTGAATTTGCCTCCCCTTGAGTGTGGGTGGGACCTGTGACTTGCTTCTCACCATTAGAATATGTCAAAGATGATGTGATGCCATTTCCATGATTATATTCCATAAAACCCAGTCTTGTTTGCATACTCTTTTCTCTGGCCAGCTTTAAAGAAATAAAGCAGTGTTGGGAGGCCCACATGACAAGGAGATGAGGCCAGCCTCTAGGACCTGAGGGTGTCCTCCAGTAAACAGCCAGCAAGAAGCCAGGGTCCTCAGTCCTAGAACAGCAAAGAAATGAACTCTGCCACCAACCTGAATGAACTTGTAAGTGTATCCTCCTCCAGATGAGCCTCCAGATGTCAACCCAGCCCTGACCAATAATATCTTATTGCAGCCTTGCAGAGGACCCACCTAAGCTGTGCCCGCACTCCTGACCCACAGAAATTGTGAGATAATAAACATATGTTGTTTTAAGTTACTGAGTTTGTGGTAGTTTACTATGCAGCAATAGATAACTAATATACTCTTGTTGATAGCTACTTGGGATGTTCCCAGTTTTTCGCGATTATCAGCCATACTAATATAACTGCTCTGACGCACATCTCCTGGTGCCTACACACAATAGTTTCTATAGAATAAATAACTCTAAAGGGACTTGCTAAGGCAAAGTGTAGGACAGAGGTTAGCAAATTCTTTCTGTAATGAGTCAGATAGTAAATGTTTTAAGCTCTGTGGGCCCTGTAATCTCTGTTGCAGCTATTCAATTCTGCTCTTGTATTACAAAAGCAGACACAGACAACACACACATGAATGAGCATGGTTGTGTTCCAATACAACTTTAGTTATGAACACTGATATGTAAATTTTGAATAATTTTCACGTCACGAAATACTATACTTCTGGTTTATTTCAACCAATTAAAAATGTAAAAACAATACTTAGCTTGCAGGCTATACAAAAACAAGTGGCAGGACATACTGGCCCACAGGCCATAGTTTTCAGACCCTTGGAATAGGTGCATCTTCAACTTACACGACAGGGCAATGTTGTTTTCTGAAGTGATGGTACCGATTTTTCCTTCCACCAGTAGTGTAGTGTATAATAGTTCTTCTCATGGCTCCACAGCCTCACCAATATTTGGGATGGTCAGACTGTAGTGCATTGTGCCAATATGGTGGATATGAAATATTAACTCATTGTGATTTAAATCTGCATCTTCTTGGTTATTACTGAGGTGGAGTAATTTTCATGTTTATTAATTAATCACATTTCCTCTTGTGAAATTTCTCTGAAGTCTTCTGCCTTTTGGGGAGAAGGGAATGTTGGCTTTTCCATTATTGATTTGTTTGAGTTATTTATATTTTTACACATTCTGGATTTAAATACTTTGCCAATTATATGTGTTGTAAATATCTTCCCCCTGTGGATGGTTTGCCTTCTTCTCTTTTAGGGTGACATCCATGCAATATCGAGTTTTTCAATCCAAAACCAAAATGTGTCTTTGCCTTTTATTCATATTTTCTTTTATGTTCTTGGTGGAGTTTTATAGTTTTTTCATATGAATGTTTTTCCTTATACTTTTTTTTGTTTATTCCCAGTTAAATTATTTTCTTGTTGTAGTATCTAATGGGTTCTTTTTTCTTCTGTATTCTCAAATTAGTTGTTGTACTTTAATTTTGTAATCTTCCACGTTACTAAGTTACCTTTTTCTTTCTTTATATTTGGGCGCATCTAGTTCAAGTTGTCACTTTAGCGGACATGTGATATTCTCAAGAATATGAAAGGCTTCAGACTCTGAAATAGCCTACATCATGTTTTCTCCTACTCTCTCTTTCAAGTTGCTTTTTCAACATGTGTGTATGTAAGCATATGTGTGTGTGTGCATACATATTTATATATGTGTGTGTGTATGGCTAAGGGTGATACAGAGCTAGGATGGTGAGGATAGACGTAGACATAAGGAGGGCCAAAAGTGAGCAGAAAGAGAGAGACAGATGAAAGCAGATTGGGGAAGAGAATTTAGTAGAAATATATTGCAAAAATGGTTGTGGAAAGTGGGGAATACTAAATAACATTACTAAGTTAATATTAATAACAATTATGTAGGGAGCATCTATCCTGTACACTGCGCTCAGTGTTTGACAGATGTTTCTCATTTCACACCAACCCAGCAAGGTTACTATTATTTTCTTGATTTCACAGCTGACAAAACCATGGCCCAAACTGGTTAGATAATCTAAAAGTGCCAGCAAGTCAGCAGCAAGCTGAGATTTGAGTCCAGTCTGCCCGTCCCCAAGCCCTTGCTCCTTCCACTCAGTCATTTAGACTTTCTGTGGTTTGGGCATCCAGCAAGCACCAGCATCTGCATGAAGAGGCCTGTACATGTTCATGTTCATTGAAATGTTGAGGATTATAGCAAAAAAAAAAATTCCATTATAGGTAGATGGTTAGGTAATCAATGTATCTTTACATTTACTATGGACTATAATACAATGGTTCAAAAGAATGGGGTAGTTTGATAGCTACTGAACTGAAAAATCCCCACCCCATACTAGTAAGTGACAGAAATCATTTACAGAATAATATTATGATTATGTTGCCAAGTTATTTTTAAAAATACAGAAAACAAGATTTAATGGAGTCTACAAGTGAATTCCTATGTAAAAATTTATCCAGCTGTACATTTAGAATTTGTGCAATTAACTGTATGCAAACTAAACCTACATTTAAAAATAGACTGTGTCTATGTTTTCGTGTATATATAAACGTACATAGAATCCAGTCTGGAACAGTACATACCCGATTTATGTCAGTGGTTACCTTGGGGAAAGGGAGACGTCTGCTTTCCGTCTACATACTTCTGTGTTGTTTAAATATTTTAAAAAGGAGAATGCATTAATTGGATATCTAATAAATAAAAGTGCAATATGTTTTTATTTAACTCAATAAAATAACACATATAAAATAATGAATCAATTAATATATGAAATTAGCAGACAACAAATACACTTTGGAAGAAAACGAGCTACTGAGAACCCATGTAGAGATACACCCATCTTCTCCCTTGGGAAGCATTTCAGGAATATATTTTCTCTATTTTTGCCTCTCTGGAAAGAAGCTAACATTAAGTCACCAATTAACTTCTGTAAGGGGATTTTCTTAGTACCCTAATCACCAGCCGGCCTGAGGGCTGCATGTGGAGGTGAGATATGAGATGATGGCTGCTCTGCAAGACGCCTGAGCCCGCGGCAGGGAGCGAGGGCCTGCAGGAAACTCAGTACTCACTTGAAGGAGTCGTCTCATTAACCTTCCCCTACTTCCGGTGGCATGGGGATGATGCAGCTGCTGGAAAAGAATACGCAATACCTGCATGCCTGGTGTGAATTAAAGAGCAATTGAATAGTAAGAAATTCAGATTGAACCAATCAAATGCCATTTCCTACCAAACTGGCAAAGATTTATTTAATGACTCTACATAGTCGGCATTGATGAGAGGTGAGGCCAGACAGTTATGGGAAGCCATGGGAGGCAGACACATTAAGGAGTTTGTCCCAAGAACAAGGGCAAGCCAGTGACAAGCTTTAGGCAGCTGGACCACCTCTGGCTGCTCCACGGGGAATACACTGAGAGACAACTAGGCTGGAAGTGGGTAGAGCAGCTAGGAGGCCGGTGTAGTAATCCAGGCATAATATTTTGGTACCCTAGAACAGTGTGGTAGCAGTGGGGAAGGCAACAAATGAATGAGTACAGGGATATTAAAGAGAGAGATCTGACAGGTCTTGGGAATCGATTGCATATATCCTGGAAAAGAGGATAGGGTGGTGGTGGCGGTGGTGGTGGTGCCGGTGTCACCCAGGGTTCGATCAGGAAAGCCAAACCCAAGGAGTTATGAAAAGAAGAATTCTTTGTTGAAATTAGACCTTACACAGTTTGTAGGAGGAGCTGGGCAATTGAACATCTGGGATGGGGAGTTGGAGGACCAGAGAAGTCCCCAGCCAGTCAGGCTGAGAAGGCAAGGATGTCCAGCCACCAAAGTAGGACCACAAAGGAAGGGCCGATGGAGAAGTCTAGAGGAAGCATTTGCCTTTGTGGGTCTATAGGCAGAAGCCTGCTGAAGGATCTGGGGCTGCTGTTGGTCAATGGGGCCTGCAGTCTGGAGGAAACAGTGGGAGCAGAGTAGAGGAAGCAAGGACAAGCTGGAAGCTTCCAGGTACCTCTGCACCTGTAGGTCATCTCTCTGAACCATAAAGGCATTCAGATGTAGTGCTCCCAAATTCCTTTCTTGACCAACTCTAACCTGGAACCACACAGGGAAAGGGATTCTGGGAAACATAGTTTTCAGCCTAACCAGGTTAATGGTAGAAGAAGATTCTGGAGGAAAGGTGATGAGTTCCATTTTGGACATGTTGACTTTGAGTTGACTATGATACATGCCCATTGAGATGTCCAGTAAGCAGTTGGTTTTGTCCTTCAACGTGCAAACAAGCTGCTTTAGGACTTCAATTCTAATCCAGCCCGGGGTGAGAGAGTGGAATGCAGCTGTGAATTAAGAACCTAAGATATTGGCCAGAAGTGAAGGCAGGCTCAAGAATCAAAAAGACAGTCCAAACAAGGTCTATAACTTTCAAGCAGTGACTTGGGGCAGCAAGATGGAGTGGGCAGGCTCCACAGGGCTGGCTGGAGGGGGTGTCCTGGAAAGATGGCCTGAGACACATTACCACTGAGTGGGAAGGTAACTCATCTGTACATTAAGGATGGCCTCCTGGAATCACTATTTTGAAAGTGCCAGAACTTATAAGAAAAAAAACTTACTTGATAGTCACTCCTCTTTATTTATTTTTTTACCCTATTATACAGGCATAAGACAGTATATTTAGTGAGCGATCCTTCTTTCAGAAATTTCAAAGACCAGTTTGCTACTTAATACAATTTGTGACATTATTACTTCACAGTGCTTCAGAATCATAAAGTGAGTTCTGACTGAAGTTCCAGGTGATGCAGTGAACATTCCACACAAAGAGGTCTTCCATCAGGTCAGTGGGACCCCCACCACTGCCATCACCACCATCGCCACCATCACCACCACCTCCACTACTGCCATCTCCATCTCTACCCAAGTTGCAGGAAAAGAGGCTGGGGAAAAGTGGTAAAGAGAAGGCAAAAGAAGGTAACAATCCCAAGGAAACATGGAAATTAATAGTGCTTTAAGGTAAATTTTCTTCATTTTTATTGGATTACAAATGTAGTCAATGAACAATTGTAATTGCAGTATTCTTTCCCCCCACTTTCTTGGTAACCAAATGAAATCACGGCTTCCTGTTGGACTATGTCCACTGAGGAGTGATGCATTCCTCTGAACACTGTATACCCGAGAGCGCCTCCGTCCCTCTCTGTACTCTGCTATATTTTTTGTGATAGTACTTCTCTCTATCAGATATTATATGTTGACATCTTTCCTTTATTTATGGTCTATTTTTCATATCACAATATGAATATCAGACCATGCCTGTTTTGTTCACTGCTTATGCCCAGCAAATAAACAGTACCTGGCATATTGCAGATGCTCAAGTATGTGTTGAATGAATGAATGAATGAATGGACATATGAATGATGCATTACATTCTAAGGATGGTTCCATATGAGAGAAAGCTGTATTTTGGCTTTCCCTTATATACAGAAAAATAAAGTTCTGACATAAGGGGTTCTACTCTAGGTCAAATCATAGTATTAGGGTGCCTTTTATATTGTTCCAACAGTTCATCAAGCCTCAGAAAAACTATATCTTTTACGTGAATATTACCAAATAATAACAATTAAAAATATTTGATATACATTTTGGTCAGAAGAGCTTAAAAGCTTTGCCAGTACCCCTTTTCTTTCCCAACTTCTCTGCTTGCCCATCCATTTCCTTTGCTGGGTCCACTTCCTCCTTCCGCCTGCTAACTGGTCATTCCCCTGGATTTTCCTTGGACCTCTTGCTGATATCTCTCAACTGTGAGTTTTTCTGGGTCAGCTTCTAAGGTCTCAGGATACCATTCCTAGCTAGGTGAAGGGTCAGGTCCCCAGCTGGATAGTGTGATGGGGCTCTGTCCTGGGCTCCCTTCTGACCTGTTTAACGCTTTGTATGAGCATATAGGTGGCACTGCAAACTCCTCCCCTCATAGTTTCAAAGGCAGGAAACAAACTTTATCTGTCTCTGCATCTTCAGCACCATGTACAGTAGCTGGCTTATTGTAGGTACCGAAGAAGTGAATAGATACTGATCAAATCTGTTGATGAGACTGAAGCATTTATGAGTGTAATTGATATAATTTGGGGATTTGCCTTAAAATACTCCAGCAAAAAATAAATAAAATAAAGTGGCTAAGCACACAGATGAAATGAAAGTGAAAAATGTTGATAATGGCTGTGGTGTAGTGGTTAAGTTCAGCATGCTCTGCTTTGGCTGCCTGGTTTGTGGGTTTGGATCCTGGGTGCAGACCCGCACCACACAGCCATGCTGCGGTGGTGACCCATGTACAAAAAATAAAGGAAGATTGGCACAGATGTTAGCTTAGGGCAAATCTTCCTCAGCAAAAAATAAATTAATTAAAAAAAATGTTGATAATAGTTGAAGTTGATGATGGCTATATGGAGGCTCATTATACTCTTCTCTCTATTTTTGTGTAATTTTTAAATTTTCCATTAAAAAAAGAGAGACAAAAATTTGTTGGTGAGGCAAAACCAGGAAAGCTTGCTAACGTGCTAGTAGTTCTAGAAGCATTTAAGAGGTGGAAATTTGTAAATAAAACTTTACTGTATGGACAAGGAGCTATATCCAATACAATGTGTGCTTCAAGGAACTGAATACAAATAAGGAGAATGACAGAACACTTCAAACTTCTCAGAGCTTTACTTTTTTAATTTTTAATTACATCGCCATGTGTAAACCATATGTGCGGATTGCTAAAGCCCTTTTGCCTGTCACATAATACATCATTTCATTTATCATTTATCAGTCTTTCCTTTCTAGAAATAAGATTTTTGCATAGTTTATAGGATGAAAATTTTACTGACAAGAATCTTAAAGATATTTACCTATTTTCTAAAGCTGTTATATTATTTTACTTATACATTAATTTTTTGTTACTGTTTTCTAACCATTCATTCATTCTTTTTTTTTTTTTTTTTTTTGAGGAAGATTAGCCCTGAGCTAACATCCACTGCCACTCCTCCTCTTTTTGCCTAGGAAGACTGGCCCTGAGCTAACATCCGTGACCATCTTTCTCTACTTTATATGTGGGATGCTTACCACAGCATGACTTGCCAAGCAGTGCCATGTCCGCCCCCGGGATCTGAACCGGTGAACCCTGGGCAGCCGAAGGGAAATGTGTGCACTTGATCGCTGCACCACTGGGCCGGTCCCCCATTCATTTTTAATTTACATGCATTTCTCAAAGTTTGTTCTATTTTATTTGTCCAGTTTATTATTATTTGTTAACTGAGTAAGATAACCGTAACCAAGTGATAATATATACAATCACCACATTATATTAATAAATGCACGTTACATAATTCTGAAATACTCAGATTCAGGTTCTGCTGTTAAAAAAAACCCTCTGCCATTGGTTTACTGATGTTTTCCTAATTTAGTTTTATATGGAACACATTTCTCGGTAAGTGTTACAATTTCATGCCCTAATGTAACATGTTTTCATTTGATACAGTTTTCAGTGGCCTTTTCACTTAGGGTAGAAGGAGCAGGCATTTTTTGAGCTTCCCTGATTGCCAGTTGCTTCACCGTTTATCTCATTTGATGCTAAGAACAACCCTATTTGCTTTACAGATGAGAAAGCAAATGCTCACAGAAATACTTGACTAAGGTCATACAGTTAGTAAGTGAAGGCAGCGTTTTTTTTAATCCAAAGTCTACATTGTTCACAGTATATTGTTTCATCTCTCAGAATTCAAACTTTTGATACTTGGACTTTCAATACTAAGCGGTGACATAGTATTGAGTGAAAATGGCAGATTCTGAGATATATGCAAAATATGACTCCACTTACATTTCAGAAAAGATTACATATACAAATATATTTATGAAATTAATATATTGATATATATTAATAATATATTTTTATTTTAAACTAATAATATTGCTATATTATATTGATTAATATAATTTATATGTATGGAAAAATAAGTAACAAGCTATTAATTACTACTGGGATTTGGCAGTTGGGAGTAGGATGGGGAGACAAGGAGAACATTCTTTCATTTCTACTGTGTATCCTTCTGTATGGAACTGCAAAGGAAATGATTACATATGACTTTTATGCTAAAAGGTATTATTACCATTTTGTCATTGTTACTAAATGGGCTCATTTCTTGTTTCAAAAATCATCAACATTCGTGAACATCTATTATTATGCCTGGATGTTTTCAGTGCCTGTAGGCTCCAGGAATTCTTATAGTTGTAGGCCCCACGGCTTATCACATCTAACACATTAAATGTACCCATATTAAATACAATTTATATATGAGTTGAGTTGAAGTTAACTGGTTTTCAAAATGTTACATTTCATAAGCATTTAAAGCTATTAACTTTGATTTTTCCAGTTTTAAAATATTTTATAAGCAAACCATTTTTTTTCAGGTCTCTAACATTTCCAAAGGCCCTTGCAAAAACCTCATGCCCTAGGAATTGTGCATAAAATGAATAAAAATGGACCCATGTGCTGAGTACTAGTCTAGATCCTTGTGATAGGAAGGAGTATAAGAAAGGCTCCCTGCTCTCCAGATATTTATCATCCAGCTCCACATCTTTCTTTCCTCAGCCCACACCTCTTTCCCATTGTAGTCCTAAAAAATTGTGACCTTACTATCAATTCTTTTCATTATTCTGCTTGGTTTTGGCATCTCCCATTCATTTTCTTGTTAACTCTTTAATTAGGACAAAAGTTGATATCGAACCTGAAGTGAGTTTGCTCACCCATTGCGCAGTAAGCCAATCTCACAGGGGGCAGTGGAAAAAAGTAGGAATTTTATTATTGCACAGCGCTCAGCAAGGAGAGAGGGCAGCTAATGCTGAAATCCCAAACTCCCTGAAAAGCTAAAAGGAAGGGTTTTTATTGGCGGGTTTAGATAGGAGAGGGGCAGCATATGGCCCTGCTGGTCGGAGCTTTCCCACCAGCCTGTCTTTGGCCTTGAGACTACTTGCAGAGAGAAGGGAGCCCATGACCTTGCTGGTCAGCAGCTTTCCCACAAGCCTATATCTCTCTGCAGGGAGGAGATAGTGAATCCAGGTGCTTGTCATTGGCAGTGTCTGTCTGCACGGATGATAGTGGATTCTGGAGCCAGGAAGCCAGGGAGTAAGCAGGGAATGAGTGTTTTGGTTTTAACCCCATATATGCCGGGTTTATTGTAGGGAAAATGATAGGGTTTGTATCAAAGTGTTTTAAACAGGATAAAATGGATTACAAAAATAATTATGCTCATATTTGAAATAAAATTCCTAGGTCTCAAGTATATACTTTCACTTGCCTGAGATAAAATATTGTGCTTATTTCTCTGAGTATTTGTTCTTAGATGTCTAGCTGACTTTAAGGAGATTTTTGCCTAATTTCATTCAGGCATGCACAGATCAATCACCAATTCATTGAGTATTTACTATGTGTTTTCTGAGGAATCACAGAAAGATGCATCAGAATATTCAATTCTGGGCTATATAAAATTGTGAGGAGCCAAAGCAAATTGCAAAGTTCAGGGCCTGCTTGAAGTGATTTTCATTGTATCATGCCTGGCGTGTAAATATCTTTCATCCCATTTGCAGAGTGTTTTGGAAATCAAGGGAATGGAATATGAGAAAAACAGCCATTCATTCAGACATAGACGTTCCACTTTCATGGAAAAGAAAGTCTTTTAGAAAGAAGACGAGACTATCCGGAGATTCTGAAGACCAGGATGAGCAGGTCTGTTTTGAAGCAATCACATTTCCCTGTTCCATATGCAAGCATGAAATTGAGCCATCTGGAACTTTCTTCCATAAAAAGCAACACATAGCTCTGGCCACTTTGGGTTTTCACTGGATGGGTAGAAAGAAACCAGGGCCTTCAGTAATTGCTATTCAGAGACAGTTTGTAATTACTAAAGTATTGTCATTTTCCTTATTCAGTGAAAGAGTCCTACAGAGCATTAATAATGCTTTTGAGCTACTTTGGAACAAAGAAATACCACAATACTATAAGATTGTTGATAACATTCATATGAGTTCCACATATTCTCAAAAAGTCTGCCATCTGTTAATTAAAGGAGTAGCCATTTGTGAAGACAGGAATTCTACATGGAAAGCTAACATGAACGATAAATTCACTGTAGTGAATCGTTTTGGCAATAAACCCAATGTGTGTTTTTTTGGTTTGTTTGATGGGCATCATGGTGCTTCAGCGGCAGACTTGTCTTCAGTGGAACTCCCAGTTTTACTTCTCCATCAACTTTCCAGACTTGATCCTTCCTACCAAATGACCCCTAAAGAGCAAAAAGTAATCGATTCCTTTCACACAGTGTTTAGGGAAGAATACACAGCTATAGAAGACTTTTTCTCTGCCATAAAGAAAAGAGCAAAAGTGTTGACGTGTGAGCATGAGAACATACACAGAGCCTTTGCAAAAGCATTTTGGAGAATGGATAGGCTTTTACGTCTCGGAAGGAAAGAAGTATCCAGGGTTCGATGGAGTGGCTGTTCTGCAGTTACTTGTATATTGGAAGGCAACACTGAAAATCCCCTTGCCAAGAACTGGAGAAGAACCAATGACTACGGTGGTTTGGCAGAGAAGTTCTCTTCCCCAATAATGCCACAAATAATTTCTGGAGTACTACATATTGCAAACACTGGTATGTACATTGAGTAGTGCCAGGTTATACCTTAACATGTTTTATTCCTGGCAGCAAAGCCTCTCATGCTTCCAGAATTATTTAGTGACCTATTATTTAGCGACGACTTAATGCCTAGAATTTCATTGACCAATTTAAGAAATGATCAATAATTACAGTTTAAATGCAGATTGTAGGTACAAAAATAATTGTAATTATTTTTCAAGGAAGCACATATATGAAATAATGTGACCAAAACATTAAATTTCTTTTCTTTTTTTTTGAGGAAGATTAGCCCTGAGCTAACATCTGTGCCATCTTCCTCTATTTTATATGCGGGACACCTGCTACAGGATGGCGTGATAAGCGATGCGTAGGTCTGTGCCCAGGATCTGAACCACTGAACCCATGGCCGCCAAAGCGGAGCACATGAACTTAACCTCTATGCCACTGGGCTGGCCCCCAAACCATTAAATTTTCTAAATGGAATAGCAATACAGCTGTTGATAAAGGCCAAACAAATACATTACATTTGTTCAGATCTCAATGAAACAAAAAACATTTCCCACACTTCCCTTTTTCAGGAGAATGGAAAGTTCTTTGAGCATTGTTAGTATAGGTGTTCAAACTGGTCAGTTATTCTGATAACTAATCCATTTGCAATAGATTATGCTTGTGCTCACTTGCCAAGTAGCATCAGTTTCACCTTAGAGAAAACAATAGTTCATGCCTCAGTTTTATGGGCATATATTCTCTTCTCCACAAATTTGGCTGTGTTCTTTTCATTTTATTTCAGGAAGCAATTCTTTTGACCTTCAGTGCTAAAGTTCTAGCTTAGGACCTTGCCAATATGGAAAGCACAGAGGTAAAACAGTTTTAGCAAAGTTAATATGAGTTCCATGCTAAGTTCCATAAGATGGTTAACTAGGGTCCCAGTACCTCTTTCGTGGATAGAATTATTATTAATGATAGTGGTCACTTATTGACTATTGAATACAAAGTAATTTCTCATTTAGTCCTAGAAGAACCCTGATATCTAATGATATCTAAGCATCATTTTTAAAGTATACTTGGCATATAACAATGCATAAGCTTAAGGTGTACATGTTAATTTGATACATTTCTATCTTGTAATATGATTGCCACTGTAGCAATAATTAGCATCTCTGTCAGGTTACATAATTATCATTTTATTTTTGAGGAGGATTAGCCCTGAGCTAAGTGCTGCCAATCCTCTTCTTTTCGCTGGGGAAGATTGTCCCTGAGCTCACATCCATGCCCATGTTTCTCTATATGTGGGATGCCTACCACAGCATGGCGTACCAAGTGGTGCCATGCCCCCACCCGAGATCCTAACCAGTGAAACCCAGGCCGCCGAAGTGTAACATGCGTGCTTAACCGATACACCACTGGGCCGGCCCCTCATTTCTTTATAGTGGTTGGAATAATTAAGGTCTAGTCTCTCAGCAATTTTGACAATTATAATACAGTATTGTTCTCTATGTTCCCTATGCTGTGCGTTAGAACTCTAGGACTTATTTACTGATTGTTGCAAGTTTGGACGCTTAAAAATCATCTCTTCTATCCCTCCACCTCCTTCTATCTGCGTTGTTAAGCCAGTTTTCCAGATGAGAAAATGGAGGCTCAGAGAGGGGAGATAATTTGTTCAAGGTCTCAGCGATCATAGGAATTGGAGCTGGAAACCCAGCTGACTGGGTCGTGCTGCCTAGGAGGGAGATTGCTTCTAGAGCCCAAGGAGGCTGGGCCTCGGGGGGTAGGACTGTAGCAGAGATGGCTCCAAACCAGGGCCAGATAATCACAAAGACCGTTCCAATGTCAAGGGCCCAGGAAGTCAGCCTGTTTCTGATCTAGCTCTGATTTTGAGCCCCAAATGATGAGAACTTCAGATGAAGCGATACCAAGAAGCCAAGCGCAATGCCAATTTCCTCGGAGTCTTTGACGTCGTTCAGGCTCTATGGGGAGGTTACGGAGTGCTTCAGAACAGGCCTACTTCATGGACGGACAGTGTTCAGATTTCAGACCAATCTGGGAACTGCCCCATATTCTTGGACTTGGAACTTTTATTAGAAAATATCATTAGGTATCACGATTCTTGTAAACTTAAAGGAGAAATTACGAGATATTCAATAAGTAGACATTATCATTAAATGTCTAATTTACCTGATTCTCTACTTCATAGCTCACTGCTGTTTGGTTGGTTCTAATCTCCAGATCAAACATTTGTTGGATCTAATTTCTAGGCTTACATAATTGTGTCAAACTGTTTTCATTTAAGCATCCTTCATTTTAATAGAAACAAATATGTAGGGAAAAAAAATCCAACTTGTGAAAGGGAGGTCATGATTTATGGTACGAAATTGCTCTTGAAAGAAAGCAATTTAAATGGGTTACAAAAAATAAATTTTCACACAGATTTATCAAGAGCATATTTTGTATTTTGTAAAACTAGACCAATGATAGCAAGAGAATTCATTTTTCTTGTCTGAAATTTATAAAATACCAGAGTCATCACAACTCTGGAATTTAAAACAAAAAACAAAACCCGCGTTTTATAATGAAACATGAGTGCAATGATGAAGTCCTTGAATGTTGAATTTGTGCATATGGAAAAAAATACTTCCAAGCTGACGTTCTTGACTTTTTATTCTTAGAACTTCTCATTTATATTGCATTTTATAACTTCTTTTCTTTTTTTTTTTTTTTAAAGATTTTATCTTTTTCTTTTTCTCCCCAAAGCCCCCCCGGTACATAGTTGTATATTCTTCGTTGTGGGTCCTTCTAGTTGTGGCATGTGGGACGCTGCCTCAGCGTGGTTTGATGAGCAGCACCATGTCCGCGCCCAGGATTCGAACTGACGAAACACTGGGCCGCCTGCCGCGGAGCGCGGGAACTTAACCACTCGGCCACGGGGCCAGCCCCTACATTTTATAATTTCTTTTGGTGCTCTCGTACTTCAATTAATCCTCACAGGATAAAACATTAACAAATGTATTTCTGTAGAATACGTAATTACACTTTTTCTCTAGCATCAAATAAACCACAAATTTTCCATTTCTAATTAACCACACTAGCTCCTTATAAATGTAAGGGATTCTTATTTGATTCCGTTAAACATATTCCCCAGTACTTTTATTTTTAATAGTTTTATTGAGATATAATTCACAAAGCACATAACTCACCGACGTAAAGTGTACAGCGGTTTTTAGTATATTCACTGATAGATGTAACCATCATCACAGTCCATTTCAGAACATTTTGTCATCTCAAAAAGAAACCCAGAACCTTTTAGCCATCAGCTTCCTATCCTCCTTTTTCTCCAGGTTTAAGTAAATGCTAATCTACATCTTGTAACTATACACTTCCCTATGCTGGACATTTCATATAAATAGAATCATCACATTCTTTTGTGACCAGCTTCTTTCACTTAGTATAATGTTTTGAAGATTCATCTATGTTGTAATATGCATTAGGACTTCCCTTTTTAGTGCTAAATAATATTCCCTTGTACGGATATACCACATATTGTTTATCCATTTTCCAGTTGACAGACATTTGAGTTGTTTTTACTTTTTGGCTATTATGAGGAATGCTGGCGTGAACATTTTGCACAAGTTTTTCTGTGGACCTATGTTTTCACCTCTCTTGAGTATATATCTAGGAGTGGAATTGCTGGATCATAAGGTAACTCTGTTTAACCACTTGAAGAACTGCCAAACTCTTTTCCAGAGTAGCTGCACCGTTTCACTGTCTTGCTCATAATGTATAATGGTTCTATTTTTTCCACATTTTCCCAACACTGTCTTTTTTAATTCTAGCAATCTTAGTGGGTATAAAGCAGTATCTCACTGTGATTTTGATTTGCATTTTTCTGATGATGAATGACGTCAAATACCTCTTCGCATGCTTTTTAGTCATTTGAATATTTTCCTTTGAGCAATGTCTATTCAAATCTTTCGTCCAGTTTTTAATTGGGCTACTTGTCTATTGTTGAGTTGTAAAGGTTCTTTTTATATTCTGGATACGAATCCCTTATCAGATATATGATAAGGAGATGTTATATTTTCTTTAATTCCATGGCTTGTTTTTTCTCTTTCTTGATGTCTTTTGAAACAAAAGGATTTTAATTTTGATGAAGTCTAATGTATCAACTTGTTGTTGCTTGTACTTTTGGTGTCAAATCCAAGAGACCATTGTCAAATCTAAGGTCACACAAATTGACACCAGTGTTTTCTTCTATGAGATTTTTGGTTTTATCTCTTACATTCAGATCCATGATCTGTTTTGAGTTAATTTTGTATGTGTCATGGGGTAGAGGTCCAACTTCATTCTTTTGTATGTGGATATACAGTTCTTCTTTTCCCATTGAATTATCCTGTCATTCTCATTGAAAATCAATGAGCAGTGTAAACGTTTACAGCTGAGATCGTGATTCTATTCCATTGATCTTTATGTCTATCCTCATGCCAGTACCATACTGTCTTGATTGCTGGAGCTTTGTAGTAGGTTTTGAAATTGTGAAGTGTGAGCCTCTAACTTTGCTTTCTTTTTCAATTGTGTTTTGCCTGTTTTGGGTCCCTTGCTTTTCCATATGAATTTTAAGATCAGCATGTCAATTTCTCAAAAAGTTCCAGCTGATATTTTGATAGAGATTGTGTGGACTCTGTAGATCAATTTGGGGGAATATAGTCATCCTAACAATATTAAGTTGTGTGATTAAAGGGACCTATTTCCATTAATGTTTTCATTAATTCTTTCAGTGATTTGTAGTTTTCAGTGTACAAGTCTTGAATTTATTTTGTTAAATTTATCCTTAAGCATTTTATTCATATGATGTTATTTTAAATGGAATTGTTTTCTTAACTTCATTTTTGGATTGTTTATTGCTAGTGTACAGAAATACAATTGATTTTTGTGTATTGATCTTGTATCCTGAAACCTTGCTGATCTTGTTTAGTAGTTCTAACAGATTTTTTGTTGTTGTTGTTGGGGGAGGGTTCTGT